GCTACGAAAAAAATATTTTGCATTTCAAAACCTTGGATACCTCCAGATCCCTCACCCAGTTCCCACCTCTTCCGAACCTAGGATATTCGCTTGGGAACTATCACAAACACTATATAGTAAGCGTTCGGACAATGTTTCAGTCGAATTCAAAAAATTCTTATGTTGTTATCATACATTAACTAAGAAAAGTCCCGCAGAATGATTAGTGCAGCTGATTTGAATTTCATTCTTCTTTGTTTCTCATTTTTGATCTTTCAGGATCACCAGTAGACACAAATATCAACAAAAACAAACAGTAAGTTAAATGGATTAATAAACAGATAACTCTACCTGTTTACTTAATATTGTGTAATAATTGTGCATCGCTAGTCTTTGAAATAATCTCAGAAATCATTTCCGAGCGGCGATTTTTCCAATATATTTCATTTCTTTCTCGTTTTAAAAAAAAGTCTAAAAAATCAAATATCAGCATACAAGAATTTTGTTTTCAGTTTTGTACAACAAAACTCGAATACGATGCACAGCTAATTGTATTTGCAACTTAACTTTTCGATATTTTTGATTGTTCACTTTAGAATACTATCCATTTATAGTTCGAAATATATATATGGTTACCGATAGCGCTTGAAAAACTATAAAATCATCAATGTGAAGTTGTGTTTCCGCTATGCTATACCTATTAATAAATATTTCATTTGACAGGCATTCCAGCAGGATATCAATTTAGTAAAAACTAGAAGATTTTTTCAAACCAGTCAGCTTACAAAACTATCAAAAGAGGAATAGAAAAAAATTAAAAAAAAACTATACTTCCAAAGTAACTTTTTACGGAACATCCAATAAGTTGTTCCATTAATGACAAGTTACTCTTGAAGTGACATTATTGATGAAATTAACTTATTTGAATGTGAAAAAAATTTTAGTTAGTTAGTGTATACAGTGTACTTGTGCCTTATAAAATGACTAAATAAGCAATTCTTGGCTGAACAACATTGTTCTCTAGGCTTTATTTCTTTCTTCACACAATAAATAGGGCCAATCCACTGTTTAGTGGCGCAGAAATAAGTTCTGATATTATATTAATGATATTTCGACCATATTTTATAACTGAGTTGTTTAGTATAATATTACACTTCACTTTGTTTTTTGTCACTATTTTTTGTGTGAATGTAACGATCACTTTAACTGCTCTTAAATCTGCCCAACGAATATCTAAATATAGAATTCAAAGCATCAGTCTTTGTGGCTTCTGTTAGTTATTTAATATCGATATTTATTTAAAATATTATTTTTTTTATTTCGCTTCTATAAAAAATAATATAAAAGAGTAAAACTGAAGGCTAACGAAATGTGAAAACAAGTCAAGAAGACGAATGGAACCTGTCTGATCGAGTGCTCATTATACTTGTTATAATAACTGATTACTCATTCAAAACAAGTTTCAGTGCTGATCTCCTTTCTAGAGCAAAATCTCAAATTGAAATGAATCAACAAAACTATTTTAATCATTGACGGGAGTGGGGACAGTGTTGTAACGATTCTTAACGCTAAATGTCATAAACTGAAAGTTTATATAGAACTTCAATAGTAGGTTTCATCCTAACTCAAGTAATTTGAGCATCTATCCAGATGACTTCGAGTTGGTAAGATACTTCGTTTTATTCTGCCTATTAATATGTGCTACATTTAAAATAACAAGAAAAAAATGGACATTCCATTAATCTTAATACAATATTGAAAAAGTATGCGTGTCAAATCTATGACTGTACTGTAAAAAAATCAATAGAATAATAAACATTCAAAGAGTTCATGAAAATGACACGTACAAAACTGTTTTCTTATCTTTAATGAAATCTTTGTAGATTCTTTCAGAAATCCTTTACAAAGAGTATATGAAGAAGTTTATAATGTTCGAATGTCACTGTTGAAAAGTTAATGAAAAGGTTTTTATCATTCATAAACTCTTTGTAGGGATATATGAACTTCCTAACCGCTTTTAAATCATCTAAAAGCCAATTATCAAATGGATATGTGAGAGTGTTCACGACAATTATGATTCATGCCAAGAACTTATGAAAGGGTATATTAAGTTTTATACAAAAGCGTCCAGGTTGATGACTAACCAAAATAAAGCCTTTATTTGATGAAACACATCAATTTTCCGAGAGAACTATGAAAACAATACTTAGATTACCTAAACTATTGAAAATTGTATAGCAGTAAATCATTTCTCGAACGCATTACCATATAAGACTACATGAAAAAACATAAAGAGGCTGAACCATTCTTTCTACTCATCTCACAAGTTGCAAAAAATATAAAAATACCTGACTGACGAGAAGAAAAGAAAAAAAAAGTAAAGTATCTTCTTTCGTTTCCATCAATAAACATTCAACAACTATCGGCACCATAGCCGACTCAAAAAAAATTAAAATAATGTGGATTACGTTGGCATAATTTCGTCCATAAAAGGCTAATAAATTATCAACAAAGTGAATGAAGAAAATAGAATAGACGTGAATGAACACTTATTTGATTTTGCTGATCACATACTCATCAAATATAGGCAGAACTATATACAAAATACAAAACCAGACTAAAGTATCTTATTTGATTTTTTTTTCTTAAGGTCGTGAACAACTATCACTATAGCGAAAGGTAAATTGAATAGCACTAGCTTACTTGGTCTTCCTGATAAGATGCTAGACAGTTATTGCAAATAATTAATCGAAAGCAAGAAAAAGTTTATTTTTCTGATTGTATTTCTCTCACAAAGTCCATATTAACAATGAAGAGAACTAAACGGAGAAAGAAAAAATGCAAGCAAAGTAATCTGTTCGTTATTTCTTGTACAATAGTCGACAATAATCGGATTAACTAATCGGAGAGAAAAAAAGTAAAGTCATTTTTCTGATTGCGTTCGTCTCCTAAAGTGAGCTGCTATGATTGGGAAAACTAAATGAAGAAAGAAGAAAGTAAACTAAACTAAGTTCATCTATTTATATTGCAAGATGCAGGAAAACTATTGGCATATGTATTAGAAGGAAAGCAGAGTAAACTAATTGATTGATTTTTTTGCATACAATCCGCTAAAACTCAAGACAACTCTAGGAAGAGAAAGAACGATTATTTAAGATAACCTATCCGATTTCTCACATAGTATTATTAAAAACTGTGAAGATACTTGAATAGGGTGTGGGTGTGGGCATCAGTCAGTGAGAAGAAAATCCGCACCCCCATCCACACCTACCCTCGAATTCACAAGAGTATTGAAGCTAGTGGAGAGTACTTTGAAAAAATACTTAGGGCTGACCAAAAGTTCTGTCACCATTAAATAAAAATATAAAGATAATGAGATATTTTTAATTTTATGTTATCAAATGTTGAGGATAATTACCCTGATTATTTATATCAAGTTGAATCCTTTTGAACAATTTATTAAAAGTTTTTTTTTTAACTTTTATCGAAAAAAACTTTAGGTACCTTGGAAACCGCATCAACTAATCATATTTCATTTGTTTTACAATTTAGCGAAATTTTGTCAGATCATGTCAGTTGTGTTCTAGTAGTGCTAGTGACGGGGTATAGATTTATTTTAGATAGGCTAGTCATAAGTCATATGATGCTAGCTGGCTTATTGAAAATGAATCTTCAAAGACTATCGTACAGGGAGACAGATTTGAACAAAAACTTTGTTTGATATATTCTTTAAATCAAATAGTCCTGGGTGTAGATAAAGGCAAGACTGTAGATTACAAGTATTATATTGAGGAGGGTGTGGATGTGGGTGGGTGCGGGGGTGGGTGTGTGGGTGTGGGTTGGTGTGGGTGGATGTGGTTGTGAGTGGGTGTGGGTGTGGATGGATGGATGTGGGTGTGAACGCGAAGAAAGAAGATCCACACCCACCCACACCCACACCCACACCCACACCCACACCCCACACCCTTGGTGTCTGCTTAGTTTATTAGGCAATAATGTGCCTGAAAGTCTGAAATTTATTCTTGGCCAAAAACGTTTGACTCACTTTGTTGCTACCTGTCGCGAGTTCACAATCTCTAGTGTGGTTTTGCAACCACCTCGGTTGATGTCTAATTTGCAAATAACCATGACTACGGTGCCCAATCTTTAGTTTAACTTTATGCGATGCCATTCTGGATAGCATGAGACTGTTCAGAGATTTCGTTGGGTAATTGCTGACGTGTTCAGCAGGTTTTATGACTCATACTGTCAATTCTTCTTTTGCCTAGTCTTGTTCTCATCTTTTTGCTTTGACGAATAGTCTTATAGTACGACAAGAGTTTCAAGCTCTTGAGACTTGCTGCAACGGGTTGTCATCTTTGCATGTATTCAAAAAATGGAAGCCCGCCACACTGATGAGACACACTATCCATTCTGTGTAAGCAGCCATTAGAAACAATATTGGTACCCCATTCACCACGCATACATCACTATGCATGTTGTCAGCGACTACAATGGTCAACAATGAAGTTTCATAAGGCTTCGAGTTTAGTTCAATTTTCCGAACGAAATGAAGCGTCACAAGAATTTAGAGAACATATATTATTTGCCACCCTGAACCTCTCTATACTGAATGCTGTACTAACAGCAAAAAATAAGCTCTTTCCTCAAAACATTTGCATTCCGTGCGTATTAATTACCTTTGAACCAAGAAAATAAAACCAAAGAATTTTATACAACACAGAGTGACTTAGTAGATCTTTTTTTATTAATTATTATTTATACCGTTCCCCATCTGTCAAAGACGCAGTCACTGCCATATGTACTTTATATTCAATTAAAGGTTATTCAAAATGGTTTCTCTCTAAAATTGTACGCACTTTAAGCTCGATATCATATTACAAATGCACACTGTAATAGAATAGTCCGCGCCAACATGATGATACAAGAAAAAATTAAAATTTAGTTGTTATTCTTTTTTTCTGCTCTCCTATTCTCAAAAGAGAAAATATATACGCATTATTTTTTTTTAATATAGAAAAATGAGACAAACTATATTTTTAACATTGCTGGTTCTGTTGACGAATAAATGTTCATGTCAAAGAGGATTCCCGAAAGAATTTCAAGCAAAATTAAATATAAGTGGATTATATACTTGGCCAACAACAACTTTCGGCGTCCAAGAATTATTATATGATCATATACATTCACGTGTTCGATTTGATACTACAGGGCGGCTAGCAAACCAAACCGAAACTTATATGGTTCAATATCAACCAAAAGGTGCTGAAGCAGGTTCAGTAAGTATAGAATATTACGTCCCACAGAATGAACAGAAACCATCAGATGTTTTAGCCAGCTTCACGAGGCTTTACAATATTTAATTTCAATTCTGCTTATCCAGAATTGACGAAAGTAATAACGATATTTATATTTTTTTTTGTTGATCTGTAATGTGTTCCTAAAGAATGATTGTTGGTATAGAACAAACTCCATGGCTGATATCGGCCCGTTCCCATTTTTATGGCTCAATGATGGTAGCGCAATCGAAATTAAGCCATGGTTTCCATTACTACCAAATCTTATCAAAAAGGGCCAAGAATGGATACCAGAAATTAAAAAGCATGCAATAGTATGTATTTCTGTTGTCATTACGGTTCAGATAGTTTGCCAGAGAAATAGACTCTTCTGCCTAAAAATCAATCGTTTTTTAGAGATATGATTCACCGGAAATTTGTGATTTGGAGCAATCTGGCATCGGTAAAATTCCATGTTTAAGCTATTTTGAAGCAGATGGTACACCCGCTAAAACAATCAAAGCACGTGCTGATGTAGGTGGCTATGATACAGACGAGTAAGTATTTAACGGATTCATCTAACGATTGAATAAATCAATGTCTGAATGTTTCACTATACACAGATATGTAAGCACAGCTTATTTGTCATTTGCGTTTCGTATTCCATCAAAAGCTAAATCTTTGTTCAATTTGCCTGACCAATGGCCTTCTTTCTGAGGTCACGCAAACGCTGGTAACTATTATCCATTTCAAATTAAAAGAAGGATGAGTATTTTTTGAATAACTTCTGATAGAAACTAGATAGAGAGATGTGGTTTTCACCGTTTGAAAGAGGAAAAAAACTGCATCGAATCTTGAACATCAGATTTTTCTGACAAGTTTTCTCAGGGCTACCCGTCACATTTGTGAAGCAGAAAACAATGTATCGTGTA